TTTGGAAAAGAATATACCCAAATTTTGTTTTCTAGATAGAAAAATTGGTCCCATTGAGTTTTTCTAGTTTGGATAGTTCTGATATGACTAGCCTAGATGTCATTTTAAATTTTTAGATAATACCTAAAAGTTCAAAAAATTTAATTGTGTTTAAGAAAAGGATTGTCTGCTAGTTAAATCAATAAGGATGCCGACTCTCAATGAGCTGCAACCTCAAATAAAAATTTTCTCGAACAATTTATGTTCGCACTGCTGTGATGCAACAATAAATTAATATAGTAAGGCAACAACTACTTTTATGTCAAATCTTGTATAAGAATAATTTTCATAAATATGTGAATATGTTTTAGCACAAGAGAGAGAGTCTACAATAATATTTGATATTTTTCAACAAAAAATAAGGCATTGCATAATCACAAAAAATGTATTCACAAAATCAAGATCATGAAATTTTATAACTTAAAGAGACCAAAGCATAGGATAATTATACAATGCAATGACAATTATTATGCAAATAAAATATGTCGAAAATCCCTAAATTATTGGTTACAAGAAAATGAATGCAATTAATATGTCGGCCTTTACTCCAATAGAATTGACGTGTGCATAATAATTTTCAATAAAAAAAAAATATGCACTAATTTTCAGCAAAAAAAAAAAAGATGGAAGAAAGAAGATGCAAGCCGACTGATTTTCAGCAGTCCATGATCAGTAAAAAGTATATAACAGTAAAGTGATCTACCATCGAGAATCAAGGTTACGGTCGTGGATTACAGGGCGTGCAAAAAAAACAACGATAATCAAATTTCTGCTAGATTATCAATTAGCTTATCGCTAGAGTGAGACTTTTGATAAGAAGATGTTATTTACAGTGATAATCAATTAGAAATTTCTAGTAGAAGTTATTTACAGTAGGGGGTTATCGCTACAGTGAGACTTACGTGCTTATCAATTAGCTTGAAACAATCAAGTCTAGAAGGGATGAACTAAAAATTTTCACAAATAAATTATTATCTTTGCAGCAGTAGCTCTATCTCTCTCTCAACAATTGTTATCAGCGACTTTTGTTTTTCAACAAAAGTTCTCTCTCAAATTGTTGCTACTGATTTCTCTCTCTCTAATTGGCTGCGAGTATTTCTCAACAAAAGTTTTCTCTCTATCTTTTCTTTCTCAATAGCCCTATGTTTCAACATTAACTTTTCTCTCTCAACAATTATCGTTGCTCCATCCCAAGGCTGCACTGTGAACAAAATACTCGCAGCCAATTTTATTTTGAGCCATGAACAATGACTTCTATTGAAAGAGTCCACTTCAAAAAAAAAAAATATTGGTTATACCGTAGCACGCAAAAAAAAAAAAAATGCATTAAAAAAAAAAAAAAAGGTGTTACCTTGATGATGAAAAAAAAAAAAAAAAGGCGAAAAGAGAAAAAAATATGTGATTTGTTTCTGTCTGTCTTTGCGTAATTAGGTTGTAAAGTTAGATAATGCCCTTTTCCATAGCAATGAGTACTCATAATTGATTATGTGGTCTTTCTCTCTATGGCCATGAAAACCCTTATTAACGAGGGATGGAAGGAGGCTATTGTCGAATATTCGGCTAAGTTCCTTAAATCGGATGGAAGGAGGCTGTTGTCCAATGTTTGGCTAAGTTCCTTAAATCTCTGAGAAACGTAGCTCTGTAATCATAGTAGGTGGGTGGTTATTTCTGCCTGTCAGATATCAACACTTTTTCTATCTAAAAAGCCACCCTATTTTAGTAATAAGCATTAAATTATAAGAGAAAAAAAATAACACGTTTAAAGACCCCTTAGCCAATCATTAGCCATGCATGAGAAATTGAGGCCATCGGATCTTAAGATATGGAAAATGTATTGATCTTGGGATAAGCAGAGTCGTGAATCAGCCTGGGAAGGGATCTCCATGATTCTTTGCGCTGCAGCCCCCGTGTTACTAGTCACTACACTGAACTCTGAGACTACGACTGTTCCCCTAGCTACTATTGTATACAGGATCGCCGTGGCCCAAACTTGCCATTTGCTTATGCCCACAAAGATGTGATCAGAGAGAGAGATTTTGAGTTTTTTTCATCCGAGCCCCGCCCGGCCCAATAACACCATATACTAAGAATAACTCTGCTCTACCCGGCGTGAGGCCCGGCCCTGTCCATTGGCAACCCTAATCACAAATAGGGGAACCCATCTCCATTGAACTACTCTTAACATTATAAAGATTGGAATGATGCATAATTTTCAGGTAGAAAGAGATGGTAAACTATAACCGTATTATTATTTTTATCGTGATACAAATTATCTATTTTTGTTAAGACTTACTATGTATAAGCTACGTTTTTAAAATCTCTTGCATTTAATTTAAATGTCACTATTTGTCGCTGAAAACTTCAACGAATAACTAATTGAAAAAGTTTACAATTACATGTAAACTCTCTCTCCCTTCATTTACTAAAAGTAACTCTCTCTCTCTCTCTCTTAATTTACTCTTCTTATCTATTCCCCTCCCACATTTCACCTTTACTAAATATATTATTTATTTATAATGAAAAGTTATAGCAAAAAATTAATTAGAACAATGATCAAATATTATGAATACATTATTCTCATAAAAAATAACTAAATACAATGACATGTGATTATAATAAATAATATTTGCCCTGCACTAATTATTTAATAATATATATTTGCTACTGGATTCTACAAACTTAGAAATATTTGATAAAATTTATAAAAATTATTTTGATTATGTAAACATAATTTATTAATAATATTTGTTTAGTAAGTGACTCAATACCTAAAAAAAATAAATTATTAACAAATATTTATTTTGTTAATTCTTATGTTTAACAAATATTTCTTTTGTTAATTCTTATGTTTAATGAGAATTATGTTTTATATTAAAAATTATAAAAACAATTTCAATCATATATTGAAGTTTTTGTGACATGATTTTGAAATTACAATTACTTGAAATAAAAACTAATATTCTACTATTTCTTTTCTTTTTTGTATTTTAATTTTCCCAAATTTTTGTGGTTTTATTTACATGAGTAAATAATACTTTTATTAGCCAAAAAATGTAAATTATTAATCAAAAGATATAATAAAAAGAAATATACGTAACCAAGAATACAAATTATTTTATCTAATTTTTAGAAT